CTTTTTCTAACTTTCCACAATATGAACAATAAGCTGTTTTTTGTTGTCGTTGTTTTTTAGATTTTTCCAGTATTATCATATATATATATATTATCTATTTCATGGAATAAGCGACGTGATGCAGCCTTCCACAAGCTCTCTCTAGTCGATGGCGAATCTAGGGCATTAGGTTAGATTATTTTGTTGGGAATCATTCATGGTTTCAGTATGAATTGACGGTTTAATCGATTTTTAGAGGTCTTAACAATAGATGATCCTCCATCAAATAATAAAGAGAACAACCATAGTAAACGATTCAAGATCGCCGAAGGCAAGTTTTCCTCCCCCGACACAATGATTTTGGATAGTGAGCCTTAATATGATTTGGATGATGATGGTATGGGGATATTGAATAGATAGGACTAAGTGAAAAGTTCACAGGAATTGTCTTGTTCCCCTTCTACTGCTTGTAAGAGGTTGCTGCGGTTGCCATGTTTCTGAGATGTGAAGAGCCCTCTGTGTCTCGCCTAGAAAGTGACTTACAAGTGTGCTTCGAAATGTAAAAGCTCCTGACTGTGTACCCTAACGACCATCTCGCGTGCGAAAACGATAAATTAATTGGGCAGCACTCTCTAAATAAACCGTCGTGATTCATGCAAACAAAGAGGACCAACACTTTGACGATTTCCTGTCCCTTCTATGCAAAGAATCAGTTATTAATCACCACGATGGGAAACAGAATTTATGCCAACCTAACAAAATAGACACCATCTTCATTCGACTTTGTAGGCTACTAGTGCGTTAAATGATCAAGAGCCCACAAACAAAACTTAGGCAGAATAAGATGCGTGCAGAACAATCTTCCAAGCTAAAAGTGTCTCAAGACAGCCACACAGCTCTATGCGTCATGAAGCACCCACTTTATCGTGCACAGAAACATAGATCATCGAGCCCAATCAACAATTGCTTTAGTTTTATCCTTTCAGTCACTAGTGATCATGCAATTTCTATAACTCTTTTAGTGCCAGAGATTGCCTTAGTCATATTTTAGAAGCAGGAAAATAGATGGGAATCTGCACACAAAGCAGCAGACCAAGAACAGCTATATGCATCCCTTGTGAATTTTTCAGTAGGTTATCACGATAACCAGTTTTAAAAATGGTCTAAGACGAAAACAAACAATACATAAGCTACGGCCCATGCAGTGTCAGTATGCGGTCAGCCAGAGTACAAAGCAAGAGGAAAACTAATGAACAATGACAAATATAATTAATAATAGATAAATGATATAATAATAATAATAATAGATAAGTAGAAGAAGAAAAAAAGTAGAATAACTAAGTAGGAGCTAGAATCAAAAAATAGATGCAAACAAATATTCTGGTCCCCTTGTCAAAGAGCCAGTGTCACCACATTTCATGCCAAGGCTGTCATTCATTTTACCTTTTTACCCTGTTTTGTACTTCCTTTATTAGCTTTCCAATCAGCATCCTAGTAGCAGCAGAATGGTAACGGTTAGAAAGCACATGATGAAAATATAGAATAACTCAGGGGAAAGAAAAACAAACCAATTTCGCTTCAACTTCAGCCAATTCTTCAGCCTCCCTGGAGAGTGAAACAACATCAGTCTTTAATAGAAGCAAATCAAAGTGTACAAGATGAAGGTAATCAAAACTAATGGCTATTCAAAATGACAGTGAAGGAGGCAAACGGACAATAAATAATTCATTACCCTTCTCCTTTAACTACGTCCCACAAAGACCATAGACCAAACCCCAAAAACAACAATGTTGTTACGTGATGAGTCCATTTACGAGAGATCTGCAAGGTTTACAATTGCTGACATAGTATAAACCAATTACAAGAAAACAAGAACAAAGAAATAAAACAAAGGGACAATAGTCTGCCTTAAACACTCACCACCACCACCACCACCACAACAACAACAAAAAAGTGTGCTCAACAATTCTAGAAAAAATATACAAGAACTTGACCGCCGTTTGCAGCAGAAATTATAGAATAAATCACATATGAGTTAAGCTTCATTTTGTCTTCTAGAATAGAAATCATACAATATCATACACAAACTAGGAATGCAACCATTATAGATCAAACCATAGTTGTCAAATCGGGATTCGAATCGTGAATCAAAATGGTATTGTACCGAATTGTGCATCAAACCGAATCGTGAATCATAAAGATTCGGTCACCTTTTTTTAATTACATACAAAAGATATCTACACACTTAGATATTAAATATATCTAATAAATATGAAATATTTAGAGTTAAATCAATAAAAATATTGTTTTAAATGATGATCATGTGGTCTGGGTAAGAAATTAACACTGGTTCCCATGTTTAACAATTCATCTTTTCCCTTTTAGATACTATTTCTTGTCAACCGTTCTTAATAAAGAAAGCAAACAAAGACAAACTTTCAATTTCAAGTAACAATAACTCAACAACAATATTTTAACTTTTTACAAGGTTAAAAAACCAAAATCTTCGAGCTTTTTCAAAAATCTCACTTGATGTCCTCAAAAAATTCATTTTGTAAATGCAAGTACTTATTAGATAAAATTAAATATGTAAGCCTAGAATATTGTAGAGAGAGAAAGTAATTTTTTTTTTCCACTAAGGTTTGAGTATTTTAGAGTAAATAGGGAGGGAGAAAGTCAAAAGATGATATATAGTAATCCTAGAGACCTTAAAAAAGCTGTGTGAACCCTTTTCCAACAATAAAAAACCAAAAAAAAAAAGCCAAATATCAATTTTAGCAAATCAAATCGATTCACGATTCACCTACGATTCATAGCTATTTGCGATTCACACAACCTGTTTGAATCGATCACCTACTGAATCAAATCGAATCGTACGATTCGAATCGCGAATCATAATAACAAAGGATCAAACATATAATAAACCTGCCTTTAACTTATTTATTAGTTCTAAAGATAGGTTTTATTGGCTCAATATGAAGAGCAAACAAATTATGGCACTTCATAAACTCAATATTATCCTACATTCCTAAATGTCCCAACAGAACATACTTTCTGAATTGGTCATAGAGCCCACTTGCTACTCTAAGAGTATCTCCAACGGTGAACCAAATTTTTACCAAATTTGAGTAAAAAAAAATCAATTTTCTCAATCTGATATGGCTTGCTCCAACCGTGCATCAAAAGGGAAGGGTCGATCGGCTAAATTTTTTTTTTTTACCTGTTTGAACCTTTTTGACCGGTTTGAACCTACCTATTTGAAAGGGAACCGGTCGACCGGTGGGTTAACTGGCCGGACAACCGGTTGGTTGACTGGTTGGCCCACCCCAACGGTAACGCACAGTGAAATAGTAAAATCTGAAGTCTGTTCTCACTTTGATGAATTTTTTGTAAAATTTTAATTTTGATACCAATTTGGTGAAACCATTGGAGCTCCAAAAAGTGACTTTTTCACCAAATTTCAAATCTGATGCAAAGTTTGATGAACTGTTGGAGATGGTCTAACCATAACTGAGGTTGAGGTTGTACAATCAATAATAAACCAACCCAGAACAATGAAAAGTACGGCATATATTGCCTTGCAAAATAAAGACTGGGCCATTTCCCCCTAAAATAAAAAATAAGCTATTTTAGGCTAGACAGTAGTGATGCTCTCTTCAAAGAAGCCAACTGCCAAGTGGAATCAGCATTAACATGATGACAAAGTTCTGCGATGCTAACTGCCAACTGACATAATTTATTGAGCTCAATTACAAACCAAAGACTGAGAGGAACTCTTGGATATAGAGTCATCAGGCCTTTGTAGACTCCTTACTTATCATAAAATTCACAAGTAAAATATAGGGGCTACTAAGTAATTGATCCAAGAGAAAATAGATAAACTGCCAAAAAAAAATGGAATGATACAATGCTTTTGGTGGTGAACAATGTTACCATAAGAACTAGAAAACTTTTTTTAAAAATATAATGGAGAAAGCACTTAGATCAAAAGGAACCAATTATTTCTGCCAACAAGCTCCAGCATTTGTCTAATTACAAGTAATATCATACAAAGCAACCGTGCAATACATCTAATACACAATAACCTATCAGCAGCAAGGGATCCTGTGTCACCCTGTCCCCAAAAAAGTCATGTCCATTGGATCATATCTTGGGATTCATACCCCAAGATTCTCAGAATCCAATAGTTGAGTGTTTTGGGACAGAGAAACAAGAAGATTTGGATAATGGATCCTTAGCCCAAATCAGTAACAGGTCCTCTGTGAGCATCCAAAAGTTAAGCCACTCTTACCAGATTTGGAGCAGCCCAGCCAACAACAACAGAAAGAATAGTCATCACCTACAGATCAACAAAAATTTTCTCTGATTGTAAGACATCAAAAAATGAGGAAGAGGTCATTGGTCAACAACCAAGCAAATATAGATAAGAAGTAGCAAGAAAATACTTACAATCAAAGCTGTTAAACACCCTGACAGGACGAGTCTCCTAGGGTAGCGCATTGCCAATATCTAAACAAACAAGCATCATAATGTCAAATTAACATATGGAAAGAAAATCCAGGAAAATAGCAATGTCTAAAAAAAAATATCACATGGCGCAGAGTTCACCAGCATGCTATAATTGCCCTTATAAATCAATATATTATCAAAATGTGCAAATGAAGCTAGAAGTGGATCTTCCTGTTTGGCAAGTTAGGTGTTTGCCAGATTCCAGGAATTAGTTCAAGAATAATTAAAGAATGCTTCTCATCAAGCACATTGAGATGGGATTAGACTCTTAGAGAAAACAGGTATGTTGTATGACAATGGTTTTCATAAGTGGACGGGGGTTCAGTTAAATGTTTCTGGACAACTATTTATAGAATTGTTAACCGGACGATGCTCATTCCTTCAGTACAAATGAACTCAAAAACTTGTGGTATGAATTTTAAGTACAAGCTGCTAAGAGCAATGAGAAGTGAGCGTTTTAGTAATGCAATCTTTAATGATACGATCATCTAGACCATCAATGCACTATTTTCATTGTGAAGGCAAAACTCCCAACACTCGCACTTTAGCAAACATCAAAGACAAGTTTCTCCTCCAAAAAGTACACATTGGTTAACTTGATATGCATTAGTTTATTCGTCTTTCTGACACCAGACAAAATTAAAATTGCCCTCATATTTCCTATACCAATGGGCTAGCTAAGATGGTTTATCCAAAGTTTGTAGGCCCTCAAGTTTTCCTGAGTGCATTCCAACAACTTTTCCCAAGCAAAAAGAAACATTTGTTACAGACTTACAGTGCATGTTAATGGTAATTGCATGATGCCAATGCCTAACACCATGCCAAATTCCCCCCACACACACACACAAAAACAAAAAACAAAAAAAAAACACTCTTGTCTGTAATATAATATACCAATCACCATGTTAATCAAAGTATATTTAAATCCATATTCTTCATTAGGGCATGTGTTTGGACAAATTCATTGATGATATAAAATATCGGCCAAAGAAAGTCTACACCAAGGCTTACAAGCATAAAGCATCCTAATGACTGGATGTAAACATACTTTAATATTATCCAAAATGAGAAAATGATACAATAAAATCAAAGCAAGAAAATTCCATTCACAGATGCAAAATTTCCAAATATTTTTAGCTCCAGTGCCCCAGTTACTTACGTAGGTGGAAGTTAAAGCAATTATGACCCCGTTTGGTAGAGCTATGAAAAAGTGATTACAGATTACAGCTTAATAGATTATACCTTAATAGATTATGACTTATAGCTGTGATTCAGTGTTTTTTAAGGCGAAAAGCGAACCGAGGCGACAAGGTCTCCTAACGCCTAAGCGCGGGGCGACGAGGCGAGGTGAGGGCTTCATCGAATCGAGGCGACCAGAAATGATATTTTTTAAAAATAAATGGTATAGACAAAAATATAAATATTTTCAAGAACCATCATGCAGTTATCATTCCAAATACTAAATATCCATAAACAAGCAATTCAATGTTTCAACATAAAGAAATTAAAGAACATATTTTAACAACATTAAAGAACATAAAGAAATTAAAATAGTTGAAATTAATTGAATTAAAATAATTAATTAAATAACCAGGAAATTAAAATAACTAGGAAATTAATTGAATTAAAATAAACAAATTAATTGAATTAATTGAATTTAAATAATTAATTGAATAACCAGGAAATTAATTGAATTAAAATAAACAAATTAATTGAATTAAACAAATTAATTCAATTAAAATAATTAATTGAATAACCAGGAAATTAAAATAACCAAGAAATTAATTGAATTAAAATAAACAAATTAATTGAATTAATTGAATTAAACAAATTAATTGAATTAAAATAATTAATTGAATAACAAGGAAATTAAAATAACTAGGAAATTAATTGAATTAATTGAAATGTTAACACAGAAAAAAAATAATTGAATTAATTGAAAAAAAAAATTATTTTTAAAATAATTGAATTAATTGTAAAAATTAATTTTTGCGAATTAAAAATTAATTTAAAAAAATAATTGAATTAATTTTAACACTGGGTTCAACAGTGAACCCAAGTGAAGTCGAAGGGAAGCAGAAAAAAATGAACAAAGGAAGAACAGGGGGGAAGAAGGGGGGGTCCGACAGTGAACCCAAGTGGAGTCGAAGGGAGGAAGAAGAAGAAGAAGAAGAAGGAACTCACCTGTAACGACGTCCGAAGAAGGAAGACGAAGACCCAAGAGGTGAAGTCGACTTCGGTATGCCTTTCAATGTCGACCCAGGAGGTGAACTCAACTGTAACGACTGCGATCTAGGGTTTGGACTTCTCATTTAGTAGAAAGCAACTATAAAACTAATTAACTTTGTCGATGAAGGGCCCAGATGAGTCGAACGAAGTCAATGAAGGGCCCAGATGACTTAAACTGAAATCAGGCAAAAAACAGGCGAAGCGTCGCTTCATTTCGCGTCACGCTTCATCGCCTAAGCCTCGCTTCAGGCGCTTCTTCATCGCCTCACCATTTCGCCTCGCCTCAGGGTGCGTGAAGCACTAAAGCCAAGCCTCACCTCGCTTAGCGCTTAGGCTCGCCTCTGATAACACTGCCTATGAACATAAGCTGTAAACCTATTTGGTTCAGTTGTGGGATTATGGATTTAAGCAGGTGAGTAGTGTTTAGTTAATAAGCTGTAAAATAACTTTTTATTGTGTAATTGTCCTTTTTGCCCTTATATGATATAAAAATGATTATTTTGTCATTTTTTTTCATTAATAAAAGTTCATATAATTAATATTACAAAAATTATCATTTCATTAATAGTATTAATTAGTATAAAATTATTTCATTTTTTCATTATAATTTAATTAGTGTCAATTTTAATTAGCATCAATTAATACTAAAATTATTAATAGTATCAATTAGTATAAAATTATTTCATTTTTTCATTATAAATTAATTAGTGTCAATTAATGGCTTAATTAGCATCAATTATTATTTTTTATTCATTAATTATTATTATTTTTATTAAAAAAAACACTGAAAACCTCCACACACACACAAGAAAACTGAAAACCCTAGTTCCAACGGGCACATCAAGAAAAAACTGAGGAAGATGGGGATTGATCCTCTCACCCACAAGCCACTACCTACTTCTCCAACGGATCATGATCAACCCCAACAAGAGCAACCACAAGAAGATCAACAACCACCACTGCCATCTTTAACTTGTAAAATCTCTGAAGTGGCAGTGGGTCAAAACAGTGAAATAGAGACATCATTAGAGTCATCCATTACTGAAGAGGCCAAACACAAAGAGAAAGAGGATGACATAAACATAGAAGGCCCATTTGACTCATTAATGGATGTCAATAATGGGTTTTGCACAGAAGATATCCCATTGATTGAACCCCATGAGATCAATCTGCTACCACCATGTACTACTGCTCCTTCAAGATCTGAAATCTGTGTGGATTTGAGGTGACATTCCACCCTCCGAACCCAAGATCTACGACGAAAAACCCTAGGTACGGCGCCATGGGTGTAGCAAAGAGAGACAGAGACAGAGACAAAGAGCGAGGGAGAGAGAGAGAGAGAAAAGAGAGATTTTTGGTACATGTTCGTGCGAGAGAGAGAACTCTGGTTTGCCGAAAATCGCCAGACAGTTTCGTGCAAGAGACAAAAATGAGAGTGTTTTGATTTATATACATGGTACACTTATAATAACTTGAAATTGTGAGGGGCATTTAAGTCATTTTGCCCCTCAAAATGTAGATGTCTGCTTAAGCTGATTGGAAGGGCTTCTCCTCTCCCACTCAAAGAAAAAGCTAATTTTTGACTTATAAAAAGTTATAATCTGTATTATTAAGCTAAACCAAACACACCAAAATAGCTTAAATTAAGTCAAAAGCTTAAATAAGCCGAAAATAACCCTTACCAAACAAGGCCTATAGCAAGCTAAAAAGGGAGAGGGAAAGTGTATCAGTATTACTTACAGTGAAAACAATAAATAAATTAAAATTAAAACAAAAAAAAAAAAAACACTTGTCTTCCTTGTCATAACATCACTTGTCTTCCTTGTCATAACATCAAACTAGCAAGCCAGGCAGTTTATTTTATCAGTCAATTGAAGAAAAAAAGAATCAGCCATTCCAATACGAGAACCAAACAAACAATCTTGGAAAGATCTAGA